ATATACAAGCTAACACTTTATCACAAAGTATAAGTTGTTTAATAAATCCATTTAATTGCATATACACTACCATTGTGATATTGAGGAATTTAAATAGTGACACCCATACATATAAACACATAGAACTGACACACAATGATAAAGTGACTCGCATAAATATAAACATATAGAATCGATAGATAATGATACAGTGACACACATACATATAAACATATAGAACTGAGACACAACGACACAATGCTAAGCCAACTAAGATAATAGAATTTCATTGTACAATTCAGTGCTGTATAATTCAAGCTGTGTTTTGGTCCATATTTTGAGTGTGTTCATGTCAATCATCACAATTTCTAGTGTTGTTATACCAGTTTACGAAGAAAATCCTAAGAACCAAGTTGTTCAAATTTCCTTGGTGTTATCTTTTTTAAAGTTTTAACAGTAGCTCTGTCATGATGATGTTGTCTATAAGAACAGTATCTATACTTTTATGTTGGTACAGTGGATGTGTATCATCATGTCTGGTGTAACACTATTCCAGTACTTACAGTGTATCATCATGTCTGGTGTAACACTATTCCAGTACTTACAGTGTATCATCATGTCTGGTGTAACACTGTTCCAGTTCTTACAGTGTATCATTATGTCTGGTCTAACACTGTTCCACTACTTACAGTGTATCATCATGTCTGGTCTAACACTGTTCCATTACTTACAGTGTATCATCATGTCTGGTGTAACACTGTTCCAGTACTTACATTGTATCATTAGGTATGGTGTAACACTGTTTTGGTTCTTACAGTGTATCATCATGTCTGGTGTAACACTGTTTTGGTTCTTACAGTGTATTATCATGTCTGGTGTAACACTGTTCCAGTTCTTACATTGTATCATTATGTCTGGTGTAACACTATTTCAGTTCTTACAGTGTATCATCATGTCTGGTGTAACACTGTTTCAGTTCTTACAGTGTATCATCATGTCTGGTGTAACACTGTTTCAGTTCTTACAGTGTATCATCATGTCTGGTGTAACACTGTTCTACTACTTACAGTGTATCATTATGTCTGGTCTAACACTGTTCTACTACTTACAGTGTATCATCATGTCTGGTGTAACACTGTTCTACTACTTACAGTGTATCATTATGTCTGGTCTAACACTGTTCTACTACTTACAGTGTATCATCATGTCTGGTGTGACAATATTCCATCACTTACAGCAGCATATGTTACAGTTTTACTAATCATTGTTGTCTAGTAGTATGATGCCATTTCCATCTGTCTGGTAGAACTATCTGTGGTACTTTCTATCCAATACACTATGATGTATAGAGTAATTTGTCTAGTATAATGTACCATAATTCTAGGTAACAGGGGAATTTTAGGAAAATAATACTCAAACTTTATGAGATACGTCATTCGTCACCTCGTGTTTTATTTCTGTGTTTCTTACCTCATTTCCACTTTCAACTATTAAATGACTACTTTTTGTCATCAGGGCTGAAACATGCTTTGAGAGTGCTAGCACTTCCTGCTCCAACCCATCCAACCGAGAATGAACATCTATAGAATTCTCTTCAGACATATTTACTTGATTGTCTGGTTGCTCAGCTACTCTATCTGGAGCAGATAACTGTAGAGATTAATTTGAAAAGAAAAACCACTTATTACATATCCATCCACATGTAATAAGTATTAATAAAACAGCGTAGATATATTTTCACTAAGTAGTGACAAACTGTATTGAGACTGAGGTGTTGTTATATAAATTGAAATTTTGTTATAAAATGTAAACCAGGTGCTGTTATAACACATGTACTGGATCAAATTATTTAATATAATACAAACTTACCTAGATCACATTTTCAAAGTTCTTATGTACAAACTGTAACACAATAAAACACTAACTAGTAGTAAATTCACTTGTTCAAGACAAATAAGTCTTTTAATGTTAGAAAGCAGCTTTCTTTAAACTTTTATTTCACAAGTCTCTACACACATCTGCTTACACCTTTCAAACTGCTGTTACATACCCTTTGGGGAGTGAAATCCAGCTTCTACGTCTTCCCCATGCATTGAATGGGTACAGCAGCTAGTAATGGTTCATTTGTCTCACTACTGGTTTAGCTAATCTCCAATAACACTACCCCATTACAACTAAGGATTTTTTTGTTTACAGTGTACATCTTATACATAATATCAGCATTTTCCAAAGATATTTTGTTTTTCAGTGTACATCCTACATACAATATCAGGATTTTCCAAAGATCTTTTTTTACAGTGTACATCTTACATATAATATCAAGATTTTCCAAAGACCTTTTTTTACAGTGTACATCTTACATATAATATCAGGATTTTCCAAAGAAAGGTTTTTACAGTGTACATCTTATACATAATATCAGGATTTTCCAAAGACCTTTTTTTACAGTGTACATCTTACATAGAATATCAGGATTTTCCAAAGAAAGGTTTTTACAGTGTACATCTTACATATAATATCAGGATTTTCCAAAGAAAGGTTTTTACAGTGTACATCTTACATATAATATCAGGATTTTCCAAAGATTTTTGAGTTTACAGTGTACATCTTATATACAATATTAGAATTTTTCCAAAGACCTTTTTTTACAGTGTACATTTTACGCACAGTACCAGGATATTTTTTACAGAGTAAATCTTACATACAATACTCCCAACACAATTTGGGTCTTACTTCCACTGGTACCTCAAAAAACCATGGAACATTACGTAATGACCCACCTTATTATTTGTGTCCTGGTGATGGATGTTTGTATTGTGGGTGCGAATTATTTATTTATTTTTTCATGTGTTTGTTTGTTTTTTCCCATAAAATTGCATTTAATTATATTTATATAGATAGATAGATAAATAAGTTCTGGATGCTATTCCAAGATCAAGCAATGTACCCTTACTTCCCTTGATTGAAGAAGTGTTATCACCTTATCATGCTCATGTATCTTGGTAGATGGTTGTTCCACAGTTTTGTTCTCAATAAAAGCCTCTACTGGTTCATTCTATAACGAAAATTTCAAACCATAAAGAGTAAATGTTATGTATCACAATGTGATCACATAATACCTAATATGATTAAAACTATTACTATATTTTGTTAAAGTTGTCAGAAACGTTACATGAGTATAGCATTCTGTTACACCGTAAACCTATGTTACATCACATCTGGAATAAACTTTTATACTGAATCCAGTTGAAATATTAATATCTTCAATTAAAATACAAAATTATCAAGTAAACCTAAATTATAATATAAACTACACTTTTGTAACAAATTAACATTGTACACAAGTGACATTGATATTCTTGACATATCGAGTAAAGTCATTTTTTGGATTATAAAAACAACTTGCCACATTCTCAGGAACAGATAAAATGAAAAAGTTTACAATTGGTAGGTAAGATTTATCAATTCAATTTGTAATAGTGAGATCTGGGAAATTAACTAAAATTTAATATACATCTTTTTTCCTGTAGATTATATAGCTACACATTTGTTTCTGTAGATTACATAACCATATAATTAACCAAGATGTCAAACATCAGTTATCAATGTTGTGGTTAACCAGAGTGTCAAACATTAGTTATTAGTGTCATGGATAACCAGGATGTCAAACATCAGTTATCAGTGTCATGGATAACCAGGATGTCAAACATCAGTTATCAGTGTCATGGATAACCACGATGTCAAACATTATTTATTAGTGTTGTGAATAACCAAAATGTGAGATGTCAATTATCACTGTTGTGGATAACCAGCATGTCAAACGTCACTTATTAGTGTCACGGATATCCAGGATGTCAAACATCAGTTATCAGTACTGTGGTTAATTAGAGTGTCAAACATTAGTTATTAGTGTCATGGATAACCAGGATGTCAAACATTAGTTATTAGTGTCATGGATAACCAGGATGTCAAACATCAGTTATCAGTGTCATGGATAACCATGATGTCAAACATTATTTATTAGTGTTGTGAATAACCAAAATGTGAGATGTCAATTATCACTGTTGTGGATAACCAGCATGTCAAACGTCACTTATTAGTGTCACGGATATCCAGGATGTCAGACATCAGTTATCAGTGTCATGGATAACCAAGATGTCAAACATCAGTTATCAATGTTGTGGTTAACCAGGATGTCAAACATTAGTTATTAGTGTCATGGATAACCAGGATGTCAAACATCAGTTATCAGTGTCATGGATAACCAGCATGTCAAACGTCACTTATTAGTGTCACGGATATCCAGGATGTCAAACATCAGTTATCAGTACTGTGGTTAACCAAGATGTCAAATGTCAGTTATCAGTGTTGTGGATAACAAAGATGTACAATAAATCTCAATCTTTTTTTTTTCAGAAAAACTTTATATTCATTATGTCATTTTCTATACTATATACAAGGTCTGACTGACCTTATAACCACATAAAGAATTAGGAAATAAATCTAAATAGGCTTTTTTTTTCTTTCTGGAATGACAGCAAATTGTCACAGAAAATCACAATTATTTATTCTAAATAGCTTAAAGCTTATAACAGTTCACATCTGTTTATATTTAATTTTATTGTTTTGCTGCTCTTTGAATTAACTGCGTCTAACTAATAATCCCACCACAAAAACTGTAAATTACTTGGCAAAAATGCAGCTCACATTACCGTAACTTGGTGAGCCTACATCAGACCTCAATTCACTTTCAGCTGACCCTCAAAATCTTGACATGTATAGTATGTATTTACTCAGCCCTTGCTGAACTGTTAACTGACACTCAAATCCTTGTAATGTGTAGTATCTGTTTATTTGGTGGACCTACCTCAGCCCTTGCTGAACTGTCAACTGACACTCAAATCCTTGTAATGTGTAGTATCTATTTATTTGGTGGACCTACCTCAGATCCCATTCAGATGTCGAATGACTCTCATTAACCTTGTCATGTATGGCATCTGTTTACTTGGTGGACCTATCTCAGCCCTCATTCAGCTTTCAACTGACCCTCATAACTTTGTCATGTACAGCATCAGTATATTTAGTGGACATACCTCAGCCCTCACTCAGCTGTCAACTGACTCTCACAACTTTGTCATTTACAGCACTTGTTTACTTAGTGGACCTACTTCAGCCCTCACTCAGCTCTGAACTGACCTTCATAACTTTGTCATGTATAGCATCAGTTTATTTAGTGGACCTACTTCAGCCCTCACTCAGCTTTGAACTGACCTTCATAACTTTGTCATGTATTGCATCTGTTTACTTAGTGGACTTATCTCAGCCCTCACTCAGCTGTGAACTGACCTTCATAACTTTGTCATGTATAGCATCTGTTTATTTAGTGGACCTACTTCAGCCCTCACTCAACTCTGAACTGACCTTCATAGCTTTGTCATGTATTGCATCTGTTTACTTAGTGGACTTATCTCAGCCCTCACTCAGCTATGAACTGACCTTCATAACTTTGTCATGTATAGCATCTATTTATTTAGTGGACCTACTTCAGCCCTACTCAACTGTTAAATGATCCTCAAATACTTGTATTGTATAGAATGTGATTATTTGGTGGACACACTTTAGCTCCCACTCAACTGTCAACTTGACCCACATAACCTTGTCATGTATAGCATCTGTTTACTTGGTGGACCTCACTTAGCTATCAACTGACCTTCATAACTTTGTCATGAAGAACATTTGTTTATTTGATGGATGTATCTCATCCCCCACACCACTGTCAACTGATCTTTACAACCTTGACGTGTATTATACACTAATTTGGCAAACCTACCTCAGCTTCCTCTTCATTGTCAAGTGCAAACTGGCCTCTATTAGCCATTAGGCTGGAAACTTGTTTTTTTAGAATGTCTAATTCTCCTTTCATCTCAAGAAGTCGGAAGTAGAGTTTTGCCAGGTGTTCCCGCCATACTTCTTGTTCATCTGTGTCATCTACATGCAATTTTTCTGTGACAAGCACCTACAAAAATTCATTTTTCGAATCATTCAGAAAAATACTTAAGGTATTATGCAAAACTTTAAACCATCAAAACAACATGTAATGTATAAAATTATAGCTTTCAAACATATATATATATGAGATATATAACTGTTTAAAATACTTAAAAACGTTAAATGGTACTTTATAAACCTCTATTCTAGTAGTGGAAATAACATAAAATATTGTTGACTTTATCATTATCTTTATACTTTGGTTAAAGAACAGATATTATCCAGTTCTTTAATTATGACCTTATCATAACCTTTGTATCTTGGTTTACAAAATGTTTGTTCCATACCATAATTATAAAACAATATGTTCAACACTATGATTCTAAACCAACCTCTGCCATACCATGATTCTAAAACAACCTGTTCTATACCATGATTCTAAGACAATCTGTTCCATACTATGATTCTAAAACAATATGTTCCATACCATGATTCTAAAACAATATGTTCAACACTATGATTCTAAACCAACCTCTTCCATACTATGATTCTAAAACAATCTGTTCCATACCATAATTCTAAGACAACCTTCCATACCATGATTCTAAAACAATATGTTCAACACTATGATTCTAAACCAACCTCTTCCATACTCTGATTCTAAAACAATCTGTTCCATACCATGATTCTAAAACAATATGTTCAACACTATGATTCTAAAACAATCTGTTCCATACCATGATTCTAAAACAATATGTTCAACACTATGATTCTAAACCAACCTCTTCCATACTATGATTCTAAACCAACCTCTTCCATACTATGATTCTAAAACAATCTGTTCCATACCATGATTCTAAAACAATATGTTCAACACTATGATTCTAAAACAATCTGTTCCATAACATGATTCTAAAACAATATGTTCAACACTAAGATTCTAAACCAACCTCTTCCATACTATGATCCTAAACCAACCTCTTCCATACTATGATTCTAAAACAATCTGTTCCATACCATGATTCTAAAACAATATGTTCAACACTATGATTCTAAAACAATATGTTCAACACTATGATTCAAAAACAATATGTTCAACACTATGATTCTAAAACAATATGTTCAACACTTATGATTCTAAAACAATATGTTCAACACTTATGATTCTAAAACAATATGTTCAACACTATGATACTAAGACA